TGATATTTTGAGCCCGGCATAGTGCCTAGTGGCTAAAGCCCTCTCCTTGAATGCACCAGGATCCTATGTGGGCACCAGTTCTAATCCCAGCAGCTCCACTTCCCATCCAGCTCCCTGTTTGTGGCCTGGGAAAGCAATCAAGGACAGCCCAAAGCCTTGGGACCCTGCACCCACATGGGAGACCTGGAGGAGGTTCCTGGGTTCTAGCTTCAGATTGGCACAGCACAGGCCATTGAGGTCACTTGGGGAGTGAAATCATTGGATGGAAGATCTTGCTCTCTGTCTCTTTTTCTTTCTGTATATCTGACTTTGCAATAAAAATAAACAAATTCTTAAAAAAAACTTCATATTTTGAATTTAGTTTCAATTGGCTAAATAGTTTCCGCTTACTACAAATATATAATATATAATAAATGTAAATAATATTACTAATATTACTGAGAAATGTTTTGTAATTGAGATTTACATAAAATAGAGTACTTCTGGAAGTTCATAGAAAAATAAACGTTTATTTTAGCACACACATCCTTAAAAGTTGTGCAGGTTTTTTAATATGAATCTTTTATATGAAAATTTAATATGAATTTTCCCATGAATATTTTTGAAGATTACTCACTTTTTAAAAGTTTTTTTTGTTTGTTTGTGTTTTTACATTTGCAGATTTAGATGGAGAGAAAAATGCCTTTTTTCTGCTGGTTCACTCCCCAAATGATCACAGGGGCCAGTGCTGTGCCATGCCAAAGCTAGATGACTACATCTTCTGAGTTTAGGGGCCCAAGTACTGATGCTTTCCCATTTGTATTAAATGGATGTTGGATCGGGAGGAAGTCAGGTGCAACTTAAGCTAGTGCTGACCTGGGGTGCTAACATCTCAGATGTTGGCTTCAGGTACTCTATCACAAAGTTGGCCCTTGCTCGTGTGTTGATTTAATAATTACACAATTTTCATTATAGTGCTGCTTTAGTTTTAGGAGATTTCGTTTATTTTTTTCTGCTTAGACAATGTGTCTCCCATAGATTTCCAATGCAGTCCTTTTTTGTACATGGAACTTGCAAAATACTATCCAAATCACTACATATTTCTGTTAAATAATGAGTATACCCTTTAGCCTAGATGCACGGCTATTTAAGTCTCTCAAGCTCTAAGAAGGTAACGCAAAGAAGATTATTTTTTTATCGATTTAGTTTTAAATGTATGTCATTGTTTATGTCATGTCTCTTTCCAAAAAGAACTTGTGGTAGCTTGAGATAAAATTGATTTATGGCAAACATTAATAAAGAACAAAAGGAAATTCAGATTCTATAAAGCAATTTGAAGCATATATCTGAAAATTCAAATTTGACTCTGAGCTTTAGGCAGATAGCGTAAAGTGTTTTACAACTAGGGTAAGTATGCACTTAGATTCAATAGAAAACTAACATGGGAATTAAACAGGCAAAGTGAGCATAGAAAACTATCAGTTGTTCAGCTACCACACTGAGTTTTATTGTGACATGAATACAGTTTATAATCTTTAGTTCATGCTTGATCTACTGTATTTTTTCAAACTAAGAAAAATAGTAAAGCAGTGACTTAATTTATTGAGAATATATTGGAAATGAGCCTTAAAACTTGCTTCCTTCCCTAAAACTGGTTTGAAGATTGAAACATAAAGTACACCAGGTAAAATAAATACTGGGTTAAAGTAAGAGCTAATTCAGACACACAGCATAGCGTTCTGTCCTAGCTGTCCATGTAGGTGCCGCAGAAAGTGAGCTACAGAGGCTGTCCTGTGTGCATGGGAGAACATTCACTACTCTGTGCCGCGACACTTGAACCTAAAAGCAATTGATATGTCTACATTGAGCAATGTAACATTAATTTTTAAATAAACCTGTGTTCATTCTAGAAAGACAAATATGACAATATTTCAATACATTTGCTTGCTACTGCCCCAAGAATAGGGGTTGTAAAAAAAAAAAAGGCATAAATGGATTTTCTCTTCCCTCCCTTCTTTCCTACTTTCCTTTTTCTATCCCTTCTCATCCTCTCCCCTTCCCTTCCATTCCCATCCCATCCTTTCCCCTAACTTCCCCTCCCCTGCCCTTCCCTTTTCTTTCCCTTACACTCCCCACCCTTCCCTTCCCTCTCCTCCTCTTCCCCCCTCTCCCCTCCCTCCCCTCCTCTCCCCTCCTCTCCCCTCCCTTCCAGTTCTCTTTCTTTCCCTTCAGTACTCTGAAATATTTCCTGCATGAGTGTTCCTAGTGCACAGGAAGTTTGGAAACATGCATAATAAAACATGACTTCATAAAATATACATATATTTAAAAATATGTTAAGAGGCTTTGAAGGATTTGTTCCATAGTCCCTGGAAAACTTTGTTAGCTGGCTCCAAAATCGGATTTTGGAACAGAAATTTAAAAAATAATAATAAAAATATTAATTGAATTGTTGATGTTTCACAGATTTCAACATAATATATTTCCCTTTGAAATAAAGAATGGGAAGTTTAAATTGTGGAAAATAATAAAAATGCAATTTTATGCAAATTACCTTGGCATTTCAAAATGGCAAAATTTCTTAGCCATTATCATCTTCTTCCCTTCAATATTCGTGAAAGGGAGTGATGAGTGCTTTTCAGAATCTGTCAAGATTTAAGGAGAATTTTACCACTGCCAGGAGCCATGTATCCCAGCTGTAAATGTTAAAAACTAGTTTTTGTATGTTGATACTGTTTCATCTTTGAAGCAGCACTTGTTGTTTACCTTCAGATGTTTGACGTCAGTTTTGAAATACTTCATCTAATCCTTGTTCTCTGTTTCTTTTTATCTTCTTTAACTTTCTCAGGAATGTGATTTAGTTTATAGTTTTTTTTTAAAGTTACTACCATGAAACAGATTTTCATGTAATTCACCGATGCATTTTTTAAAATTTTATTTACAGTTCCATAGGCTCTGGGATTTCCCTCTCCCTCCCCAAATTCCCACCCTCCCACAGATTTCCTCCAAATCATTTCAATTTCATTTCAATAGGGTAGTCATTCACAAACAGTCTTAAGCCCATCATTAAGTTATTTAAGTGTATCCTGACATTGTAAGTATGGACAATGGCAGAGAGTCCAGCATCCTAGTGTCCAAGTATATTTGATTGTTTCATTGGAAGTACACCTTAGATTTGGATGTAGAGGTATATACTGCCTTGTATCCTCATATCTGGATGTGATAGTCTGTATTACACAGTTGCTATACATTCCATTAAATGAAAAGTCATGAAACAAAATCAACAACAGGAAGAAAAAAATCAAAAATTAACAACTTGAAGTTAAATAACATGTCACTGAATGGCCAATGTGTTGCTGAAAAAATGCAAGAGTGAATCAAAAACCTTGAAGTAAACAGTGCTACTGTGTGACCTATGAGTCAGTGAGGAAATTAATAAGAAAACAACAAAATTTTAGAAAATGGAAACAAATATCAAAGCCTCTGAGAAATAGCACAAGCAGTATTGAAAGGGCTATTGATTTTGTAATTTGCATGCAGGTTGCCTTATATCAGAGAGAACACACGGTATTTCCCCTTTCTGGATTGACTTGTTTCATTGAGCATAATCCTCTCTAGTTGGGGGCGATTACAAATGGTAGAATTATGTCATTTTTTTAAGGTTTATTTTTATTGGAAAATCAAATATACACAGAGAAGCATAGACAGAGAAGTAAATCTATAGCTGGCTCACTTCCAAAATTGCCACAACAGCCAGAGCTGAGGTGATACAGAGCCAAGAGCTTCTTCCGGGTCTCCCACATGGGTGCAGTGTTCCAAGGCTTTGGACTTATCGTAGACTGCTTTCCCGTGCCACAAGCAGAGAGCTGGATGGAAATTGGTGACTCTGGGACAGGAACTGGCACCTACATGGGATCCTACAAATGTAAGATGAGGACTTGAGCCAATAAAGCTATTGCAATGGGCCCAAAATTTCATTCATTTTCGTGGATGAGTAGTATTCCATGGAATAGATGTATTAGTTTCTTTATTCACCCCACTTTTCACAGGAATCTGAGTTGTTTCCATGTCATTGCTATTATAGATTGTGCTGCTGTAACTATAGGATTACAGATCCCTTTCTCATATGCAGATTTCATTTCCTTTGGATATATTCCCAGAAGTGGGATGACTAGGTCATACTTACTAATATATTTCTTAGAAGATGTCATTTTTCCTTTCTTTCAAGCTGTCTCAATCTCCAATTTTCTTCCTTTTTGGTACCCTCACTTTTTGCAGTAGCATATTTCAATTTACTTTCTAATAACAGACAAAATTCACCACTAGCCAATAAGTAAAATGTGGAAAGATCATTGTTTCACAGAAACATAAACAAAGGCTAAAAGCCGTTATCAACTCATGTCAGTTTCATTTTTAAACTTTTGGTATCCTGTATTAACTACCTCATATTAAGAAAACATGTATCTTTATTTCTGGGACTGGGCTATCTCACTAAGCATAATGTTCCCTAGCAGTATCCATTTTATGGCAAAAGCCAGGATTTCATTCTTTTTGTGGCTGAATATATGTATCACGTTTTCTTTATTCAGTCATCAGTTTGTGGACATCTAGATTGAACCCACATCTTACCTGTTGTGAATTGAGTTGCTCTAAAAATGGGAACACAAATAATTGTTTCATGTGCTTATTTCATTTCCCTTGAGTAAATTCCAAGGAATAGGATAGCTGAGTCAAATGAGAAATCACTTTTAGATTTCTGAGTATTCTCCATGCTGTCCTCAATAATGGTTGTGCTAGTTTACATTGCTAGCATCATTGTATTAAAGTGCCTTTTTCTGCCATGCACTCTCCACTACTTTTTGTTTGTTACTTATGTGCATAGTTGTATGAAATTCTGATCCCTTGCAGTGTAACTATGATCTTACCTGTAGAAATGTCCAAACATTTGACAAAGATCTTTGAACTACAGAATTTTACAAAGTGTAATCTATTCTTGTTTGGTGATGTTCTTATTTTAACAGGTTTTAAAAGCGGACCTAGAAAAGAAAAAGCAAACAATGGACAAACTTTCTTCACTCAACCAAGATCTTATTTCAACACTGAAAAATAAGTCAGTGACCCAAAAAATGGAATCATGGCTGGAAAATTTTGCCCAGCGTTGGGATAACTTAGTCCAGAAACTCGAGAAGAGCACAACACAGGTTAGTGATACCAATTCTCGTATTATAAATTACCTTGGGGATTTTTAAAACCTGCATTAAAACAACAGAGTGGCTATAACTCACCAAAAAGGTCACCAAGATTAGTCATAGCCTAGCATTCAATTGGATGAAAGTGTGTCCTGAACATTATGATATTACAGAGTAGGAGGAAATGAATGGATGCGTTCTGAGAGTCCTGCTGAACTCCAAAGTGCATTGTTTATGCAGCACAGATGATGAGACCATTCCGTGCAGTCGCAGATGTGGTTTATTTACATTAACATGGATGGTAGATGATGAAACTAAGTTACATTTGTGTTAATGTAGTTTTATGTCAAGTATTTTTGAAGTTTTAATAATTTCATGAAAGGAATATTTCGAATGCAAAACTTTCCATCTGTTATCATTGTTGGGAGAATAGCCATTCAAAAAATGCACATACATAACTAGCATAGTACCATATAACTTTGCATTATATGGGTTAAATTTTACTGAGTGAACAGAATTCGTAACTCAGTGCACCACACTTACACCTCTGTCGAAGCAGTGACCACATCCGGCAAATTGTAGGTAAACATTGCCTCCATTTTGAGACAGGTGCAGGAGATTTGTTTCCTTGAGACTGGACATTTAATGAGTAGTACTTAGGAAATGTTTGTCAAGAGATAAAGAAATGAAACTGGAATTACTAATTTTAGAAATACAATTTAAGGAAATATGATCATCCAACATCTGATTTTCAGTTTATAGTTCAATCTTTCTTTTCAACGCATGTTAGAAATTTAAACTTTGAAGGAACCTGACTAAATTGCAATCATTTTTATATTCATTTGCTATTAATTAAAAATTCACTTGTTGTTCATTACATACATTGTTGTAGTTCATGGATCAGTTAGTAATCTTAATGCCCTATTATGATTCCTCCTCCCACATGTGATCTACCCATGAATACTTGGCTGTATTGACACTCATATAGCAAATAAATGAAGGACTTACAGATTTTTTACTTGGGAACCAACAGTGGTGTTATTCCAATATTTAGGTATTGAGTCCAAAGATTATTTCTACAATAAAATAGTTGGAAGGCTTGGCATTATTTGGTTAAATTACATTCCTTATACAGAGATGTTTATAGTGCAGATGTTTATGTTCATCTTAGGTCATATTTTCTTTAACTTGCTTTATATTCAGTGGCTCTGAAACTTGAGCCTGCATAATAATTATCTGAGGAGTCGATTAAATTCCCATTCGTGGCCACTGGCTCAGGAAACCCTCATTCAGTAGGCCACGTGAAGAACCTGCGAGTGTGCATCTTTATTAAGCCTATGGCCTGGATAAGTTTCTTTTTTAAGGAACATTGAGTAAGAAAGGCAGTAACATAAATGCATTGTGCTTTTACTAGTTTTCCATAATGCTGACTAAATTTAGAAAATGGAACCTTTTCTAGAAATGCTGTATCTAGTATTCATTTCCCTCACAATAGTGAGGAAGGTTATATTTTTCATCAAAATGTTACTTGTTTGATTGTTCTAATTGGGGAAAACATAGAGCATTATTGTTATCATCTGAAATTGATGATAGCATCACTTTAATTATGTTTAAATTCCAAGTATAAAGTCTTTAATAAAGCAGTACTGTGTTCGCTTTGGTTTGTTATTTAAAAAAAACATGATAACCCAATACAACAGCAAATGCATGTTCTGCTTACCCACTGGAACATAATGATAGAGAAACAAAGCCATGGTTATGGGAGCATTCTCTGAAAACGAAGGTGCCTTTGGTGTGACCACTGCATTAAGTGATTGTGAAGGATTTTCTGTGGCTCTGTGCTTCTATTCAGTTACCCACCTCTAGAAAAGACCAGGGACAGGTAACTAGACATTTGTTAAACATATGGATTCCCAAGATGTTTAGCTTGATGTGTTTCAAATTCACATCTCAAATTTCTACCGTCCTCTCTCCCAGAAATGTACTGTCATAGAACCCTTCCAGATGTTTTCCAGGAATTTTTCAGTTACTAGGAGACCAAAATGGTGGTAACAATTTACAAAAAAATTAAAGAAGAGAAGACACACACACTAAACATCATATACTCTAAACAAAAAGAAAACAGGTTATTTTGTTTTACTTGTATCAAATTGAACTTTATCCAAATTATGTGATTATTCCAAGAATTCTGAGGGTAAGTAAGATTGTAACTTTTTTTTTACGATTTTTTTTTTAATTGAAAAGGCGGTTATACAGAGACCAGAGACAGAGAGGGAGATCTTCCATCTCATGTTTCACTCTGCAAGCAGCCACAGTGGCTGGAGCAGAGCCAATCCGAAGCCAGGAGCCTCTTACAGGTCTCCGATGTGGGTGCAGGGTTTCAAAGTCTTGGGCCATCCTTGACTGCTTTCCCAGACCACAGGCAGGGAGCTGGATGGGAAGCGAGGCCACTAGGATTAGAACCGGCGCCCATATGGGATCCTGGTACATTCAAGGCGAGGACCTTAACTGCTATGCTATTGTGCTGGTCCCGAGATTATAACTTTGAAGAAGAAAGGTGTCTTATGTTTCTATTTTCCAAGCATATTTGCAGGAAGATAATTATTCTGAATGATGACTACTCATTTGATACACATTTAAAAACTTGTTTTTAAAAATATTTTGGCTTGCTGTTGTGAAGAATAAGCAAATTGTGGCAAAATATTAAAACCACGTTTTGAGAGTCAGGATATAAGGATTGTGGTTGATAGCAAGTCATCTGTTTATGCTCCTGTAAAGAAAGTTGTGTCCTCATGACTTTGACTGTCAGGAGGTCAAATCTTTGAGAAATCTTGATTTTATGAAGAAGTTGCATGGGAAAAGATCACAACATGAATCAAATGAGCTGTGAGGTCAGCTCCCTTCCACCCCACCATTGGCTTTGACGTGACCATCACCTGCACACAAGGTGAGACTGTCTAAGCTGATGAGCAGGCAATCTAAAGAGACACAAAAGAAAAACTGCTTGTTGCCAAATGTAATAAGGATGACACTTTTTACACGTGTGGATACGTATGAAGATAAGGGGGCCAATTAAATATAGACCACAGTGACCATTAAAAATTCAGGTTATCTCAAGTGGTTGCTTCAGGTTTTTTTTTTTTACTTGAGATTTAATACATAGCTAAATTTCTTTGTAAATGTTATGACCTTGATGAATACGAATTTATATCGATTATAAGGTGTGATAGTCATCGATTATAATTAATGCTATCATAGTAAGTGATTTGAAATACTGTTTTCCCACGCAGTTGAAACCAAATACAATTTGCAAAAGCCATACTATTCATATTCCATGTTATCTATTGGGATACTTTTAAAAGTTAGGCGACTGCTCTTAAAAAGAAGAATTGAGACAAGTGAATTCAAACATTCTTGAATTTAAAAAATGTTTACAGTATAAATTGTCTTCTTTCTCATGAAGAAGAAGAAAGGAATGGATTCAGAACTCCTTGGTTCCTGAACATGATATATCATGTTCATGCTGTGTGTATCTGTAACTGCTGACACCCATGGATGTCCAGAAAAAGTGGTTAGAGAGATACAATATCACTTTTGCTGTACTATGAGTCTTAGAACTCCTGCAGGACACATGAATGATAAGAACCAAGGCTGGAGATGACAAGGCAGGGTTTTTCATTATACTCTAAATGCAAATACAGTGCTGCAGAAGGGCTACAATAAAACATTTATTGCTTCATCTTTGCAGAGTTCATTTTTATTTTTGAAAGAGCTTTATTTTTACTCTTTGTGAAATCTTATCTATGTCCTGGGTATTCCCTTTCGCAAGGCATTATTCTATATACCTATTGACACATGAGATGAAGCTTTAGTTTGTTTACTTCTCTTTTTTTGTCAGCAATTTTAATTAAAAATTCTCAAGCTTCTCATTCAACAACACTTTTCATTGTTTTCTGAAAGCTTCACAAACAGTAAGCCTACTGCCAATCCAAAAACAGCAACAAAAAAATACATACAACGAAACCTAAGCAGTTTTATACAGAATAAAATCAAAATTGAATTGCCTTTTATTTTAGGTTTCCATCTTCTTTTAATTTGTTAATAAGCACCTTGAATTTTGGAGCATCTTTTGGTTACTTTATTAAATTAAAGGTTTTATCATAAAAATGTGAAAGCAACTACCCCTCAGATAACAGGAAAGTAACTGAATATTTTTGCCACTTCCAAGCAAAATTGGGATTTGAAAATGAGCCTTGTGTATCAGTGTGATTCATGTTATAAATTTACTGTCTGTAACAACAAACTGTTGCAGGCACTGAAAATTTAATGGGTGGAGACTGTTAACTTGGAATCTCTCATTTTAAAATCGAAAATATATATTTTGGCATGCCTCTATAGTATGTCTAGCATGAAATGTCCACATGATGTTTTTCTTTGCTTGACATTTTTAGTGAAAGTTTGGAAGCACAAGGTAGTGTTTGGCTTAGCAGTTAAGATGCTGTTTAGGGCACCAGAATTGTATATTAGAATACAGGTTGAAATCCCCACTCGTCTTGATTCGGTCTTTCTGTTGATATATACATGGAGGTGTCAGGTGAGGGATTAAGTGGTTGTATTCCTGCCACCTGTGTGGGAGGCAGTGATTGGATCTGGAGCTTTGGAGTCCTAGCCTGCATCCGGCCTTGTCATGGCCATTTTAGACACTGGGTGAGTGACCCAGCAGATACTATAAAGATAAAGATAAAATAATCAGTGTGTATAAGCTATAATTATTATATATTATATAAAAAAACAATGAGGTAACACATATAGGAAATTGGCTATTTTTCCTACTGTAGCGTAGATAATTATTTCTTGAAACAAATTTTTTTGGAGAGGAACATCAGCTATATCTTAAAAAATAACTGGGTTACTTTACAGTTTTTATAGTTGCAGTTAATTCCTATGGTTGTTCAAATTCTAGGTTCAATATGAATTCAGAGCCAAGGTGCTTCTCTTCCTACTGGCACAAC